AACCGCGAGATCTCTTCCTACCTTGGCTTCCTTTCTCCAGGAAAGGATCGAAACGTCCGTCGCAAAGGGCACGCACAAGGAAACGCGACCGCGATGTCGTTATCCGCGTCAAGGATCGAGTCTTTTGGCATACTTCCAGGTTTCTTTCGGCCCCCTTCGTGGAGAGCACTTTTATCCTGCACCGTCGAAGAGACCCTCGGCTTGGACAAATATTAATACGCGGCTATATGCCCCCCCCCCCCGTTTTTCCCCGGAATTTCCAGAGGACGTTTTCGGATAGCGAGTTCTCCCTGGAAATTTAAAACCAGACTAGGAAGTTCGAAGCTTGCCCCTACGTGAGGGATCTTCACTCGTTCGAGACTTAACTCGACTGGAAGCACATCCTTCGAGGCTCGACATCTTGGTCCTGGTGGCCGGCGAATTTCTCACGAATTTATTCCTAGGAATAAAAATCGCGAAGTCTTCTGATAATTCACCTGCTCATTGGAGGTGCGCCTTTGTAGCCTTTGCGGCCAACGATTTATTTTCTACATCGTTCAGGAAATTTAACTATCGGAACGAGACTCGAAACGCGTCTGCGACTATCGACATCAATGGGCGTCGGTTATTTCTCTATATGAAACCCGGAACGTCGAAATACGTCGACATGGCTGATGGAAGGCTTCGGAAACAATGGCGTGCTGATGCAACGTTTATTGCCGTACGAGAGGATTAGTCGTTCACTCCCCATAAAAGTATTTTTAACACGCGATTATTACGAGCCGGAGGATCGAGCGTCAACCGGCAGAACCTTTGCGTTCTGATTTATCATCTCGATCCGACGTGCTTCGCGTAATGGAAATGAAATGGAATAATTCCGACGCGTCACTCGTCACTCGTGTCTTTCAATATCTATAAAAGTTCACGCGCGAACATACGTCAACGGAAATTGACGTTACAGGGCGACGGGCTTTTTTCCGAGAGAAGGGCGACATGAAATCGAGGGTCGCACCACGAGTAGGTGACAATTCTTACTTGAATGTTAAATCACAGGATGCCTCGAGTCTCGGAAAATTCTATACGGATTATCAATCGAAAAAGTACCGAAATTATTGTAAAAATTGACGAAACCTCCATCGAGCGAAATTTGATTTTGCAGAGAACGTGACAATGTTTCATCGTCGGTTTAATTGGAAGCGAAGTTCAGTGGCTTCGTTTACTCGTTTATCAATTAACGAGTCCAGCTTCATTTTCGGGCGAGCTGTATAATCGAGCGCGAAAATCTGCAATTTTTCCCGAATTATGGTTTGCTCAAGATTCGGAAAAAGTGCGCGTTAGTCGGGTGAATATAGTTAGCCCCTCTCGGAAGTTTGCCGCGGAAGCTCCGCTTGTAGGCAGAGGAAGGAGCAAAAGAAGAAAGGTGCTCGGCCAATAGGAAATCACGTCTACTCAGGATTCTAACAAGCACTACTGACAAGGATTACAAAAAAGTAACCCCCGGTAGCGTTTTCCCCACTTGAAAATCAAGCCAACGAAGCTTTTAACTTCCGGTTTCCTCCTCCCTCGTCTCGCTTTCCTCGCGTTTTCTCTCCCTTTTCCTGACCCCCGTTCCCCACCGTGTTCCTCCGCCATGTCTTATAGATTTCGAAGAACTCTCGATTCGAACTTCAAAAATCGCGGAGTTAAATTATTCCAACGCGATTATTGTAATATCTGAAATCGGGGGCAATTAGACCGCGAGGGAAATCTGAAAAGCCTCATCAGGGGAAAACTATTAGGTGAAATCAAAGGCGTCCTGTGAGGTCAGCGGTAACTTCATCTTCCCTTAGAAGAAGACCACGTTATCGAGTGGATCTAGGGGAATGGGGAAGCCTGGATTAGCGCGATCCATCGGAAGAAGTCCAATCAGCAGGTGGACTCGGGATCAGCGAGATCCGCGACACTTATCCTCCATTCCTGATTTCTGCTCGCGTGACCCTGGGCTGATTGCTCGGATCAGCAGCGAGAAAATCGTCCACCTTGTCCCCATGCAGTCGGTCCACAATGTTGCGGAATTATCAGTGGTTCTGCAATCTGGACCAGTCGACCGCAACCCTTTTGAGAATCGACGTAGCTACGTTCGATGATCAAGGGATGATCCAACGATCGGCCGCCCGCATCATCCTAGACCTATATTATTAAAAACTAATGGCTCTAAATACGTAAACCTAAATCGGCATGGAACTCATCAATGTGAAAGTGGAGATACCAGGGAAAGCTAAAGCCTCGAACCGCGTAATACCTCGAGCCGGGGAATGGGCCGATAGCGTTGCAAAGTTTTTCCTTCGAAACTCCAAAAGAGGATTATAATACCGAAATTACCGGATTAATTACGACGAGCCCGTCAGGAAGTAACCTGGCCGGACGGGGCGATCGGTTCTAGATTATTAATAACTACCCATAAGTTGCAATGCTCGATCGTACGAAAGACGGGAGCAATATTTCGAAGGAAGTTTCCCCTCGAGGAAAGTGGCTTACTGCCCGACACCGAGCGATCCTTCCTCCCTGGGGAATTTTCGGTCAGCTTTCACGCTCCCGGGGTTATACGTCGAATCGAAGCCGAAGGAGTTGCTGCCCCCGCGTTTCGGGTCGTTTTATATTCCGGCGGCTCCCCCGCATCACAATCTATTTCCCTTTTCCTTCGTTTCCTTCGACGATTCGACGCGACTGACAAATTCGGGGCGGGAGTCTTTGAGGCGAGAAACGCGAAAGTACGAGAGGGCCGATCGCTTTACGGGTCTTGGCTGTCTCGCAGGCCGAGAGAAGTGTTTCTCGTTATCCGATTACCCCCAGAAAATAACCTCCAGTGAGTTATGATTAACTTAAATGCGAGCTGGCCGGACCACGCGTAAGCAAATTTCCTTTCATTAGCCTGCCAGAGAAGCGCCCGTCGACCGGCGACTATGCACGGATGCGGAAACGACGCGCGCTCGTTCTTCAAGTATCGACCTCTCGAACGGCGTCCCTCCTCGAGACTTCGCGTTGTTGTTTTACATCGGCGAACGTTCCCCGCTAATTCCGTTCTTGGGATCCTTCCGCTTAATAAATTCTCTGACATCCTTTGTGGCCGTTTGCGCGCAAACGTTTTTACGTCCGACGAGTAGCCGTCACGTGCCGTTTTTTAGAAGTTTCCGCAATCGCAAAAAGAGGGATCCGACAATTGGCCCTTTGAGACCGGGTTACGAACTTCCGGGTATAAAGAGTAACGGAGGGCGAGCGTCAAAGAGCTCCCCAAAGATCGGTTTTTTTCCTAATGAAACGTACCAACGAATACGGCTGGTTTCTCAACCTCTGCCTCTTCGGCGCGTTTACGCCGGTGATATTAATATTATCCCCTAGGCGCTACAAAATGCAGGGAGTCCGTGGAGGCGATTTGAGAAATCGGGTAATAATAGAACTGACTACCCTGCCGATGGACTTTCCTCGTTCATTACCGGCTTAAAAGAATCCATGCATATTCGTTAGGGAATTATCTTAAATTAAATCCGATTCCCAGGAAGTTAATCACGAAAATTGCGTATGCAAATGGGGATTTATAAACTCGGAAGGTAAGCAATCGGACGTTCGGTGATGTTTCGACGAGCCGATCTCCCTGTACACAGATGAATTTTTCGTATCAAATGACGAGTTTCGAAAGCTCCGGTCACGTGTCGAATTTAGAGCTATTATGAGGGATTAACGAAAGAGGTGACGCGGTAATCGATGCACCGTGACTCGAACGACGGATTGGAATATCTGTCTGAGATGAAATGCAGTTAAAGGGTAGAAAAGTCTCTTAAAGGTAGAAAGGTAGATGCGTGTAACTCCTCCCATATCGTGACCCTTAAACGACCAATTCCGGATCCTCTAATTGTACTTCCACTAGATGGCGATCCAGATACTGTTCCCAATTATGACAAATTACATATAATTAGAAGTGTTGGAGGAGAAACTAGGGGGGAGAAACGTTGCAAATGGTCGCGGTCGTGAATATATGCACGAGCATATTTTGTATCCTGTCAGCTCGGCGGGAGCAAGGAGGGTGGTTTATTTCTTCGGCAGACACCTCGGCATGTATTCCACATCGACATATATCGCTTAGAGGTTTCTTCGACAATTCTGGTTCTTAACGCTCTATACCCCGAGACATTCGATGATTATCTGGAATTTAGCCTTACGACCGTACAGAATTCTGCCGAATTCTAGACAGACTTTAAGCACCCATTAACTTCGAATTCCGGTCTCATCTCGATTTTCCATAAAGAAGATGCCCACCAGCTATCGAGTTTCGATAAATAGGAAAACCTCGATAATTGCCGAGGCGTCTTGAGGGTGTCGAGGGTCATCGAAATATCGCTAACGATCACCGGTGGAATATTCAGAGGAATGATCGAGTGCACGCATCGGACGTTCGATTCTATGGGGGAGCGAAAAGGGGTGCCATGGGCCACTCCAGTCACCGAAACGACCCCATCGGAGAGAAGCACCCGTCGGCCAGACATCTGTCAAAGGCGCGAATTAAATCGGGAACCTCGCCTTCTAAAATAAGACCGCCTAAAATGGAATTCGGACATTACCGGAAGCTTGCCGCAACTCGGAGGTCGGAAACAATCATTCCGCCCTAAATGTCCCACTGAAAGCCATTTCTGGATTGGTCCTATAAATATACCGGGGACCGGAAGGATCGATATCGAATCTCCGCCGGATGGTCAAACAAAGCCAACATCCCGTTTTACAGGGTGCTGGGACTCCAACTAAAAGCTCGAGGTATTAAAATCGATCATCGGCGTCGTAAACGCGTCGAGCCGAATTCTTGCGTGTCGGTCGTGTCGTTTTGTCGACTAACATTGAAATTTATCGGCCGGATTTATCCACCTAGGGACCCTAGGCATTTCGCACCCCGACCACCGACAAATAACCCCTTCCAACCTCGCGATCAAACGCTCGTCAGGATCGATTTGAAAATCCGGTAATAAGCGCACTTTTCTTTTTTCTTTTTCCAGATTCGACGCAGCTGGTGATCAAGAGCATAAACGTCCCCTCGTCGGTGATGGCCGGCGAGACGGATCACGTAATTTTGGACTGCGATTACGACCTGGAGAACACGTCTAAGGACGGTCTGGTGGTGAAGTGGTTCCTCAACACGGAGGACCTCGTGTTCCAGTGGATCCATGGGAGCAAGCCCTTGGCCAGCGAGATAGTCGCCAAATACATCGATCTGGACTACAAAGCCAGCAACGATTCCGGCACCATGTACCGAGCCATGAAATTGAACAACCCTGATACGAAATTGACCGGCGAGTACACCTGTGTCATCTCGACGTTCACCGACGAGCAGACGTCCAGCAAGCTGATGGTGGTATTTTGTGAGTGTCTCTTTAGCTGTAGTCGGCCCCGTTTCCCGAATTTCTCCCAAAAGCCGCGGGAACGAGATGGAGCTCGACTCGACGTTTAATCACGGGACCCTTTCCGTAAATAAGGCGCGAGACTCGCGGGAGGGAACGAAGTCTCCGACGACCAGGGTGCGGGACTCGGTCCCCGTTCCTCCACCCTCGGGCACTGTGATCCCACGGTCAATATGGCGGAGGCTAAAAGGTAGCTTAGCGAGGAAGACGCGGAGAGGTCTTAAGCCCATCGTGCAATAAAACGTACGAGAGCAAGATGTAACGGGCCACGGGACCGGAGCCGAGGATCCTGCGGTAAAGACGAAGGTGGATGCCCGATGGCAACATCGGGGTGAAAACGAAGCGCAGGGTGGAAACTGTTTCCACAAACTCCCGGTTTCCTTCTACCCGATCAATTCCCGTGAATTTCCAAGAGGATTAAAATCCCCGACGAAGGGTGCAACTGTAACGATTTTTGCTAGAGAATTTCTTCTGACCCTTTTCCCGAAAAAAATTAATCGAGTCGCAATCGTACTTATCTATGAGTCTTTGGAATTACACCGGAGAAATGGGAGAACTTTACTTAAATCGAATTAATTATTGCTTGGGGCTACTTGTTAACCGAGTGGCTTTTTACATGAGTACTTGACTCGTGTACAGTTGATGTTACGTTTGAAAAGTGTTACAATGGTACCCCATCTCCCTTTCTCCCAAGAAAACGGAGCAGGCTCTTCACGGAGAGGCAAGGGGCGCCGCAATAAACCCGATGTCGACTCGTAGCCTAACTTTATGCAAACTCGGGCACGCGTCGACGCGGTCTTTTAAACGCGGAGTTTACCGAATCGACGGGGGCCGTGTGTTGGGGCCGGTCGTGGTGGATCGTGCCAAAGGTGCAACGAGGATCTCCGCGGTCGGGGCAGATGGCGTGCACGCGATACCCACCTTGTTGGAAAGGTCTACACGCCTCGATATAGTGTATCGGGCGCGACGACCCGCTCGAATCGATACCCCAGCTATAGTGGCACCCTTCGAGGAAACATGCAGACCGCGGCAAATGTCTCAGTTATCGATACTGCCCAGTCATTTGACAGACGGGTGCGATCGATCGCCTTTTTATTCCCTCTACTCCCATTAACCCCTTGCCATACTTTGACGAGTCTAACTCGCGATAACAATTTCGGGTCAGTCACGAGTCAGATCTCAATTTCGTATGAAACAAATATTCCGGTTTAGCGAGCATCTTTCCTCACCATTCCGGCGCGTTTTCTGAAAATTCTCGCGGATTTTACCGCGTTAATTTATACGGCAAAGGGTTAAGCCAACGTGAAAATGGCGTCAAAAAGGTCTCGTTTACCGAACTTTTCCCCGAACGTTCACAACGTGAAGACTGACTCTAAGAAAGGACCCTCCACTCGTGGAATTTAAATTCTTTTAAAAATTGTTCAGACATTTACAAAATTTCTATACAGATTGAAATTTCATGAGAGTCAGGATCTTCCTTATAGTCTCTTTATTCGCGGTGGTAGAGCTTTAAATAATTCCGTACCCCCAGTTTGGAGATGAAGAAATTTTTTTCGCGGATGGTTGCCTCCTTGGATGGCACTTTTGCATCCCTTTAACCCCTTGGCATACAATGACGTCCGGGAGACGTCGTTCATTTCATGTGCTATTGAAGACTTTGACGTCTCCGAGACGTCAAGAACTGCCTCCGGCCAAATTAAATAATATTTTTTCGACGCATCAAATTCCGTTTTATTTGTATGTCAAGGGGTTAAGGAGGTCCAAGGCGTGACTCGAGGCGTCGAATTTTCAGGACGCAACTTGGATACCGCGCGTCCATTTAGGAGGTCAGGTCGCGGCCAAATGGACTCGTCAACCGATTCGTCGATAAAAAGCCACGTGCACGTATCGCTCGGGGTATAACAAATGAACTGCAACGTCGGGCTTCGTATAACCCGGACGGCGGCAGACGCAACGAAATCGACACGCGTCGATACGCGGAGCCATACCATTGATCGGTTTTGGCCCAATGAATCTCCACTGACAGCCGTGCGGTCTTGCGTTGACATGCGACCATCTGCGTCTGGTAAAGTGGAATTGCCTGCTCCTGGTTACATCATTCCGCGTGTTCCGTGTGCGTTCGACGCGTTCCGTACGTCCCGCATGCCCTGTACGTTCGGTACACGCCGAGTCTCCTGCGATCGACGCCACGACACGAGACAGATAATTACTTAGTACGCCGACGATCGAGCGGCCTCCTTTCCGCAAAATTAATTCCGCCAACAATTAATTCCCCGGGAGATGACGAATTCGAGGATCCCTCGACCCTTTAGTCGATCCCGCGGGAGCGACGCGTTTCCGCTCTCCGATGGATTCGATCTCGCCCGCCTTTTCGATCAACGAGCCGATCATGCCGCATGCGGAATAATTAACGCGGGGGTTAACGATCCATAACGCCGACAGAACGTGGACGTAAACGAGTCTTGGGTTAAATCCAGCCGGGTCTCGACGTTCGTATCGAGGAAGCAGGCGAGAAGCGAGGCAAGTCCCGATTTCCTTCTCTTTTTTTCTTCCCTCCGAATAGGAATAATGAACCGAGGGTAATTAATTTAATCGCGATGAGAAATAATCTCCGTATAAATCCAGAGAGAGGCAGCGGACGGCGGGCGCGCATAACCGGGCCGGGAATACAAACGCAACCTATACAATTTGCATGTTGATCCCCGTGATAAATGGCGATAGCCACAATCCGTTTTGTCCTCGGTTAGATTGCCGTGCACTTATATGCGTATAATCGGGCCGCGCTCATCGCCGGTGATTTCGCGATGTGTCCGGCCTGGCCGGCATTATTTCAGGGGAAATTAATACCGAAACGAGCGACCTGGCCAGAGCTCGCTTTACCGCCCCATGTTTACGGGCCGACTCAAAGGCCTCGACTATAAGAAGTAATCGCCGTTTCTACCGCTGGATCTTTAGGGAGGAGAGAGGGAAAGAGACAGAGAGCTCATCTTCTACGGGTGGTTAGCGGAAGAGAAACTTTCAATGGTACAAACCGGCTGAGATTCCTTTGACTCGGGGCTCGACGGCAAGAAACCTACGGTAATTTATTCAAAGCCTGTATTCGGCGGTGCCTCCCAGCATCCCGAATCCCTCCCCTCGGTTTTGCGTTAGTCATTTCCGCGAAAATCGGATTTATTCCGAGGGCAGTATCTCTAAAAAGCGCACCGTGCGCCCTGCGCTCGAGAGCGTGCGCGCCTTCGCGGATTCTTCCTCGAACGAGCGGGACGACTGCGCTTTAATTTCCTTTTCTTCTTGTGTGTGTTCTTTTTCTCTTCCGCCGCGAGGAATCCCATTCAAGGATTCGCCCCCGCTTCGTTAGCATCCTGCCGCAGAAACGCGTCGCGAAATTCCGGAGGCCGGAACGAGTCGAGGGAGGTCTCGTCTCCTTTGACCGAATCGGCTTTTCGGATCGCGTCCCACTACCGCGGAGATCGTTTTCGCGATTCCCCGCGAGGTTAACGAAAACGTTACTTTCGAGTACCTCGAGTTGGCCCTAAATAGAGCTGGAAATCGTGACGATATATCTCGTTGGGGCGCGACGTTACCTGATGGTGTTCCCCCTGGGTGCGCCCGTTACTTCGTCCAGGCTGCGTGCCCGTGTCGCATCGATCATTACGCCGAGTATGCGTGCTGTCTCTATATTTAGCGAGCCTCTTCCTTGTCGGAGTAAATTTCTCGGACTTTCCCTCTCGTGCCCTCCGTTTGCCGGGGTCTTTCTCCGTCTCCATTGACGGGCGACGTCCGCCCGATCGCATCGGTTTCCGGATTTCGAGTTCACCTTTATCGGAAGATCGACGACGCATCGGTGCCTGTTACCCGGAACGACCGAAATCGAGGGCTCGGATAATATAAATGTCCATTTCCGTGCCCCGTGCAAATAGATAATACCCGGAACATCGAGCTTTTTAACGCGTACCGCCGTGTACTCATCATGTCGACAAAAATGTACGACACAGCGTCGATGTATCGCCAGCCGGTGTATCCGCGAAGTTACATCGCTCTATCGGACCCGGAAATGGATACTTCCCGTCGTCGGAACATTAAACATTAAAAATTCCAGCCGATCGGTCATTGCCAGAGCGAGTGTTCCTGTTAAGGTCGTTGCGCAGGAGGTTACAGGGCTCCATTAAATCCCGCAGCCTGGCCGTCTTGTTAATGGAAAAGCAAAAGTTTCGGGCAATCGGTCACCCCGGATGTAATTTCACGTGTCCGTGGGAAACTCGAGAAGACACGCTTTTTAAGGGACGCACTCTCTCCGTCACCTCGGCCGGCTCCGCAATATTTCTCCACTTTCCCGACGCTTCGTCCTGCTCCGGCTTTCCCTATTCCGGGGAAAAATCGCCGGAAAATGGAGAGCGCACCAAGTTACGCGGGAATTCCGCATTGCCGCGGTAATGCAGCGGCACATTCCGCAATACACCATCTATCCATTACCATTGTACGGCATTTCTACCCTGCGGGAGTCGCTCCCGAATTAGCCGCGATCGGTTGCGTGGGGCACTTCCACGTGGAGCCGAATGTCGTCTAAATGAAATAAAATCAATGTTTCCGGGACCGGGATCGATCGTTTTCGGGGTACGCGAAGGCTTTCCCTCCCGTGTTCTCGCGGGGCAAACAGATGCCGAACCGAAAGGAAGAGTTCGGAGTTGCTCTTTTTGATACTCTCGGCCGGAAGAGGCTGCATGCAAGGTACCAACGCGAAACCTTTGTTCCAGCTCCAGAAGAGAAATTTGACCTAACGGTTCAAAGAAGAAACGTGGACAATGAAGATGTCATGGAGGCGTCATGCAGCGCCGAAGGGCTGCTCCCTCGGCCGACTCTTGACATCTCCGTCGAGTAAGTACAAAGTACAGTGTCAAGAGTGCGGATTTCTTCATCCGGCTTCACTCGCAGCTGCTGCCCGTCATGAAAGCTCGCTCGCTACGAGAAAAGTCGGATAAGCAAATCCTCTCTGGCGTAATATCCACTCGAGCTTCAACTTCCTTGACCTTAAGGAATAATTGAACTTCGGGAGTCGAGCGACTCGTCCGAGCCTCGGAGGAAATTCAATTAGTACATTGGATCTGCATTCAGCTTGACTAACTCGTTAAATTAAATTTAAATAATTTTTCCACCAGGCGGTAGACGCAACCCAGCTCGAGATTTCAAAGTTTCGCCGTCCCGGGGCCCAGTTTATCGTCCCACGCCCTCGCCAAATTTTTTGTTTTTTTTTTCTCTTTTTTTTCAGAGGTAAAATCTTTTCAGGACTCGAGCCAACATCCTAGGCAACACCTAAACTAAAGCCTCGCCATGTGGGATTTTTTTCTTTCGGGGAGATACGAGCCTCTAATGTTGGAAAAGCGCTCCTAACCATAACTGGGAAAAAATTGACTAGTCGACTTTCGGAAATGTTGCCAGCTCTAGTCGCGACGGGGATGTGCCAAATGTTGCATTGAACGTTTAGGGTTGTCTGCCAAGTTAGTACTTCGTTTTGGGGCTGGCTAGTTTCTTGGTCCAGAGACGAGTCTGCCGAATTTATCTCGCAACTTCGACTTATATGTTAAAGACGTTCTAAAAACCCTCTGGGAAATTATCCGTATTTTCAGGAACGTGGAGTCGGAGAAACCGTCAAAACCTGTCGTCACTCTGCGGGATGATCAACGATACGACATTTTGTCGAGAGTGACGTTAAAGCACGATGAGCTTCCCGAATCTGCGGTCGTAAAGTGTGTCCTCAGCATTCCGGAGGCTGGATACAACGTTACACGAGAAAAAATCTACGTTGGTTAGTGACCGTTTTAACACCTATTCCAAACTATACTAACATTCGTCAAGTGACATACGCAATCGACGGTGCATTATTCTGAATGAAAGCACCCATTAACGTTGCAAAAGCACTTACACGTCAGTGCTGGATAATCGGTATTACTAAACGTGTGAGTTACTTGTGTCCGTTAGTAAATTTAAGTCAAGTCGTTAAGTCAAACGATCACGGCTCAATTATTGAGTTTGAGCAGTTAGGACACTTTTTTAACGAATCCCGAATTTTAAGGCGTATCTAAAGAAATGTGTCGATTGAGATTCCTATCCAATACCAACGGCCAACTGTTTAACGACGAAATTACCGAAGCACGTTACCGATAAATATTATATTATTTCAACCCCTTCACGTTCTCCTAATACCCCAGCAATTAGCCGCAAGGTAAATCCCCCTATAGATATCGCAATTCTATTTGTCTAGCAATTATGTAGATAATATGTGCGCAGTTAATGTATTTACGTTTGATAGGGGTTTCAGTGATATTTCGGTAGAAGGTTTATGGGCAATTAACGGTTGCATTAATACGCAATTTTACTCGGCAACCCCCCCTGTTCACACATCAGTGTTTACCATTTTACCATACGAATATTCGACTTTGTTGTTGACGACTTCCGCCAATACTTTCTTTGTGTATTTTATTTTATTTTAATGTGCACTTTTCGATAGAATTTAAGATATGCAGGAAACTAGGCGTTTAAGCAGTACTTCTTTACACACCCTTTATTCCTTTCTGTCCGCTATTTGCACACAAAAAGTGGTTATTTTTTACTTGGCGCAGATCAACGCGTGTAAGCTTTAAACTGAAATCTTCGAAAGATTTCTCTATTATACTCTACATCTGGTGGCTCCTCAAGTATCGATAGTTGTTAACAAGGTACAGTACAGCGACTGCGAGTGGATCAATAAGCAATCTCATTTATCGTTTGTCATTTTAATGTACTCTGTGTTCACGCCCTTTCACGTCAACGCCACAATCCGTAACGCAATAGATTTCAAGACCTCACGACTACCAAATCATTACTAACATTTTAGTGTTCCGCAAACATTGTACAATTAAGTAAAACAAAACGATCCGATATTAATATACATTATTCTACATCGATGGCGCAAGTAAAAAATAATTGCTCACTAGTCAATGGATTTTTAATAATTCACTAACTCGCCCACGGATACGCAGAGACTGGTGTTTTAAATAACGTCCTTGTGTGCTTTTCGCTATTGCTTATCCGATATAATTCTTATCAATTCCGCCCTCTTCCTTGCTCCGTTATCCACCGCAACTTTTACTTCTCATTCTCCACCCTCGTAGGGTTGAAATTTCTCACGTTGACCGTGCTCTTTTTAACTTTATTAATACATACTCAACGGAGCTTTAATTCCGATTCTACGCTTAAGGGTGGAGATTGGAATTCCTCGATTTCCTAGATTCTCTTATTTTCTCGTAGAAGCGTTGACCGGTTACTAGCTAGAGGCTGTATGTGGTGTTTATTGTGCAGGAACGCCTACCGCTACTCCTACTGCTACCTCGAAGCTGCTGAGAAAAATGGAGATCCAGGCGCTAAACAACACAGAACCAGACTCTGACAATGGTGGTGGTAAGATTGAGATACCGCAATCCCTGTAAGAGCATTTATCGCCACCATAAACCACCAATTATCGGGAAGCTTTTTCTCCTGGCTTGCAATCGGACATGCTTAAAGCAGAAAGCCTATTTTTCTTTTTTCTTCAATGGCGCTTCTTCCATAAATCTAGCTTTTACCTCCTGAAAAGTACTAGCCCAAAATTTATCCCATAAAAGAGCGTCAAGAGCTCTCGGGATATCATTTTTATATTTCTTCATTAATTTACTCTATCAGGCTACACGGTAGCGTTTGTCCGTTCGAGGAACCATTCCAACGAAAATGTTTCTCAGCGAACAAATGCCTGCCAAAGAAGCACCGTGGAACGGTACCGTGTTCGCCGCGGGATAAGCTCTAGCTACAATGTTCCGCTTGTAAGGGTACTTTCAAGGAGGGAGAAAAAGCGACGATCTGATAGCGTCTATGCCGATCCCCGCAGTAAGCAGGACACTCGCTTTTAACCCTGCTAAAAGTGATCGATCGAAGAGAAGCTTCGACAGCCGTACCTTCGGGCGACAAAAAGTTTCGACCATTTCCTATCTCGAACCGAAACTAAAATCCCTCAAACTTGGTATTCACTGGCAATCCTGTGTTTTGCCGGATTCTGGATTAAAATTGTACGTAAAAATGGAGGTTTACATTTTTTTTTTTTATAATCACGAGGTTTACATATTTTTCTTAATAATCGCAAATTTGGTATCCACTGGCAGTCCAACGCTTCGCCGGATTCTGGATTTAAATTGTACGTAAAAATTGAGGTTTACATATTTTTTTATTGTATAATCAGGAGATTTATATATATTTTTGTATACTGACGAGGTCTTCAAGACGCCCTGCATCTTCGTAAGACCGAGAGAGGAAGGACGAGGAGGTCCTTGACACGCTTTCCTGTAATAAGTTCTTCCGGGATTTCGTAACTGGCTTTCGAGAACCTCCATAACTCAAGGATGTCGCTTTCAGATGGGTATATTGTCGAGACTCGATCCAATAACTAGCATTTTCTTTGAACACTCCAATGTATCCGTTATTGAATTCGGCTACAAGGCATTATATAGAGCTGGAATGGTGTCACTCGTATCGATTCCAGACTGCTTCGGGTTGATTCAACACCGTTCTGGATTTATACGGAGACAATGGAATTGTGCGGCACTCTTCGACAGAACTTAACGGTATCGAAGCACACGGCCAATTCCGCGTGGTTGGATCAAATTTTGCGGTTCTTTCCGGCCGAACGGGAATACTTTCGGTTAATTTTGCGAAATTGAAACGGTTTAATGGATACATTTCATCAGGGCTCGAGGCCCTGTTAAAACGTTACGAACGACAGTGCCTCGCGTTTGGATCTCCTAAAAAGTGTGGAACAAATTTGGCCCACGTAGTTTGGCATGCTTTTGCAGCTACTCCCTGTCACGATATGCTTCAGCTTAGATTAGCTTCGTGTAGATCTAAAACTACTCATTGCCTCTGCTTATGAAGCGCTTTTCTGCAGACTAGCCGGGGAATGCGTTTTCTCAGACGTTGCATTATTTCCTCGCGAATCGGATGAATTAAAGGCTCGAAACGAAAGGGTTTGATTGCAGTCTCCGCTTTCTATCGATTTTGGACTCCGGGGAAATAATGGCAATGACACGCAAGAATGGGCTCGATCAAAAGAGACGTATCGTCCGATGTCACTTATTCAGACTTGGCTAAGTGACGCGCACCCCTGCAGTCGACCCTTTGGTCTTTCCCCCGACGGTGCTTATTACCGCATTGTCCCCAAGAGTAGATACTTCTCGAGATAAGAGTAACGACGAGGTGGAGGATTCGTTTCGCGAGTGCGGGGGAAACCCGCCATTAAAGTACGAGCCGAGTGGCTCGATTCCTCTTGCGGTCTTCCAAGCCTTCCGGATCCAACTTCGAAATTCGGTCCCCCGAAGATGGCCTCGAGGATTCAAAGCCGACGCTTTCAAACGGAACTTTATTCTTCCAAGAGTTCGGCAACTCGTGTCCGTATCAGCAGAATGACGTGAAACCATACTCCGAGCCCGAAAAGAAACGAGCATGCTTTACGGTACTTTTTCACTTTGCAGTTCGCGCCAACTACCTCCCTCCGCGAACTTCATTTCCGTACTTTTCAACCTTTCTCTTTCGATCCCTTCTGGATTTTGCGCTCGGCTTGAAAAAAGGTAATGGAATCGAAATTATGTGTGTATATACTCTCGGAGGTGGAACTTCCTCCCTTTGGCGCAAGTTTTGTTCCACCCGGCGGAACGCCTCTCGCGATTCCTGGTCCGTTTTCAAAGAAACAACGTCCACAGTTGGACGTTCTAGACTTACGTACATCTCGCGATGTATGAAATAATATACGACCTGGAGATACGAGGGATAAGCGCGAGTGTCCCGACTACCGCTGAGCAAGGTTACCATCTTTTGCCAAATTTCTACCCTAGCTCGTCCTGGGAGGATCCTGTAAAACTTACCGGAACTTCCTGGCGACGTCGGTCGAAATTAGATACACGGTCCCATTTTGAACTGTGCAGTTGATTTGAGAACGATACTAGGGGATGCATACCGGAAATTGGTATATTCCAGGATAGCGGATACAAAATTAGAGACTCGTCTAAATATTTAACGCGATAAGCCATCCGATCGCGATAGCGCGTTCTCTTGATCCGGTAAGGAGTTAAACCCTATTTCCAGGCAATGGGGAAAAATTATGACTGCCATATTTCCGACATAACCCTGATCATCTGTTGCGAATATCCAGGATGTCGTGTCGGCAGGTCGCGCGAAATAATGCACGACTACCAGAGAGTTGGCCCAGACTCTAATTCCAAACAATTTGGCTACGCGTCGTTTGAATATTAACCAGGGGAATCGAGGACGAGCAAAGTTAGATACCTTGGATTTCAAGACCATTCCTCCATCGGGGTCGTGACGTCCGTAAGAATCTCGTTCCATTCCTCGAGATTACGCGAGACCTACTTATGACGGAATCCTGGGAATGCGTCTTCAAAGATAGCGTAGTCGCGGAAACGCGACATCGCGCATATCGCAACTCGAGGTTCCCAGGACACCACGAGAGTTATCTCGGATGTGACCCGTTCATTTCGAACGGATGAAAATAAATTAAAGGAAGATGGAGAACCGATCGACCAGTGGCATTTCCGGCACTCTCATTCGGTTATTTCCGTAAGGTGAAATCGCAATTTCCACCCGAAGAACCCGAAAAAACCTCGTCTCTGAATCAAGGCGACCAAATCGGGGCATCCGAAAGCGACTGATCGAGGAGTCAACCCCGGAAACAAACTCGGTGGATGCCCTATAAATCCGAGAAATATGCCGGAAAGAGCTCCGCATCCGTCGAGCGAGAAGAGGTCTTGGACCATTGTCCGGATCTCTTCCTTGCCATCTAGAATTCCCGACGAATCGAGGAATCGACGAATTCCCTATCGATTCGTCCGTGTTTATATACATTTCCAGAGGTATCGCGTCGAGATTACCTCCTGGAAGAGGACCCTTCTCGAGATTGCGCTTCTCTGTAAGGGCGGCGACTCGAACGCGACCGCTCGGATGTTGATCTCTCCCCGGGATGGATTCGACGACCGTCTTCCTCCTCGTCGGTATCGGACGTTAAACCTACAGAGATTCCCATGACTGCTCCGACCCCTTAGATGTCGATTGGCGGACTTAAGATTCATAGACCGGGACGACCTTCTTCCGGAAACCCACCTCCTACCTTCTCGCTTCCCTCCACGGGATGCTCCGAATTAGAGGCGTTCATGGGGCCGGATCAGCAGGAGATAAGAAATCCGTCTCGCTGCTCTTTGATTCCCATTTCTCGACGAGAATTGGGATCGAACGTCCAGGGCTCGTCTCCGTCGACCAGAGTGCTCCCGTCCGAGTTGGTTGGACCTCCTGGTGGAAACTTCAAACTCGACGTTCCAGTTAAGGTTACTTCCAAAGTACTCGATAGGCGCACTCTCTTCGTCATCTGGCGGGACTCCAAGTAGAAATTAATCGTGACTTAATCAGGCTTACTCGTTTATTATATTAAACGGTGTCATTTTTCGCTGATGGGACGCTTCCGAGGAAATGGAAAAAATTACATTTACCCTCTGGAATTTTTACATCGTTACTACGATATGGTAAATTCTCGCATGGGGTGGATATCGTCAGAAATAATCGGCCCGTAAAAAAGGGCGATCTGGAATCAGCTTTTTGTGAGCGAAATTGCCGCTCAAATGTGCGTTCAAGAGTCGAAGATGACTCGATTTCTGACATCCGCGAGACACCATATTTTCGGTCGCGAAGGCGTCCGATGGGAAAGGATGTTCGGGGAAATATGACGGGGAAGAAAGCCGGGGTCTCTCGAGATCGAAGACGAGGGGGCACGCGCGATGGGTGAGGGTGGAGGAGCTGGGAGATGCTCACCCGACCTTACGTTGGACGATTTCTTGAAGGCTCCCATCCAGAATTTATACGTCTAAATGCTGATCCTTTAATCCCGTCGATGGTAAACCCGAAAATGTCACGAAGTCGGTGAGAAACGTGCGGCGAACGAAATTGCGCGAAGAACCAGCTCGGGTACTTGCGGGGTCGATTCAAATATCATCTATTTTCAATTACGACTCCGCTGCTTCCATGTTAAGTGCGACGAAGAATTCCCAACAGAATCGCGACACATTTCCGATATTACGGCGCCACTTCAGGAAATATTAAATGCCGGACGCGGAACGTCGAACGTTCGGACTGCATCTCGAAATGAAGCCCACGAGGTAAAGCGTTCCCACTTGGCAGTTATTGCTCTCTATTATAACAGTTCCCCTACCGCAGGCAGTAATAAACGAATTTGAGCCCAGCGGTATTTGCCCCTTTGCGGGCACGAGAGGGAACTCTCAGACTTTTTCCCCATTTTCATAATAATTCCTCCCTCGGATTACAAAGACGAGTTCCTCCTCTGCGCGGTACTCGAAGCTCCCGCTCCGAAAATT